CGTCCGCGGGGAGCGCGCGGCCGCGCGGCGCCAGGAGCTCGGCGGCGGCGGCGAAAGCGGCGGCGCGGCAGCCCGGAGCGGTGAAGCAGCCGACCAGAAGCTCGGAGCCCGCGGGGCTCAGGGCCCGCCATTCCGCCGGCGTCGCGGCCAGGGCGCGGCGCCGAAACTGCTCGAGCGCGAGCTGCGACTCGAGCTCGCTTTCCTCGCCGCGCTGGAGGCCGGCGGCGAGCTGCTTGATCCATCCGTCCATTTCTAGGGGCGACGCTGGCACACCGCCACACGAGACGCGTGCCTGCGGCGCCGGCCGACCGGAGGTGCACAAGCCGCAGCGCCGATGACTTGCCGCAAAAGGATGCAAATATTGGTTTCAAAGACAGAAAAAGCGTCCTATTGGCCGCTCAGGACCCCAAATGCAAGGTCTGCATGCACATGTGATGGCGGTGCTTAATAAACAGAGTGACACCAGGGAAGCTAAGGAAATAAAAGAACCAATATCGGATGAATGCGGCCCCAGCAGACCTAGCAACGTGTGCAAGTGCCACGGTGCCGGCTCTTGACCAATGCCGGGTGACACACTGCCGAGGCTACCGCAGTGCTTCAATTTGCGTGCCATAGTTACAGGTGATTGCAGCAACGGGATGCGGGAGCTCGCATCATGGTGGTGTGGTCGGCGGGTGAGCGCAGAGTTGCAGGACGAATCATGGAAGCTCGCTGCACTTTGCGAGATCCGCTGCTGGCACATAAACACGATGCCAAATCTTGTGCTACACAGCAACCATGCATGTGTAGTGTCACACTATATCTGACCTTGCTCACGCCTTGCTCATGATTGACGTGCGTGGGAGCATGCATGGATCAACAAAGCTGAGCGGTGCTTGGCCCCCATTCAATACCTCATCATTGCGGCTTGCTGCTTGATCTTGTTCTGGGATTGAGTTGAGTGACTTACAACTACCTTCCTGCAGGGACACAAAGCAGGGGCATACATGCCTGCATTAGGTGGTCTCTTGTGCGACAGCTCGCGGGGGCGCGCGCGCGCGCACACACACACACACACACACACACACACACACACACACACACACACACACAATCACACAAGATGATATGGTGCTTGATCAATGGAACCCCAGCCGATAGCCGCATGGCAGCGGCACACATCGACCGTTGTGTCACTTCCTCACCGCGTATTGGAAAAGAGCTGCCAAGGGGTGGAAACAACATGCCAAAGCGATCAATGATGGTGGTACACGCCCTGTCGCATCAGGCGTCGGGCTTTTTCCAGACGTGGCTGGTAACCCTCGCCACACAGGCAATCAAGCAGCCCTGACAAACAGCCCCAAAAGCCAGGAGTTCGCTCATCAGCAAAGGTAAAGGCCAGGGAGGGTCAAGCCACGAGCAGCTGACAAGCAGCTGGGAAAAGCACTGAGGATGTGGGGTCTGTGTAGAGTACGGTACTTGTTGCGTTGCGCTCCAAGACATGTTGTAAGGACGATGTGTATATGGTGTTGGCTTGCAGGAATGAAGACGCCTGTTCAATGGCGGGTCGAACACTTTCGGACCGCGCGCAACGGTGGCAGCTGGGGCTTGGGGAACACAGACGGCCAGGAATCGCGCGCCCCCACGCGCTCACGCGCCCCGCGCGGCGCTGATAGCGCCAAACAGCTCCTTGACCTCCGCCGCCGTGCCGCACCGCGCCCGCCACCCCGCCGGCACCGCGCCGGGTCCGAGCATCGCGCCCAGGCAGGCGCCGGCGAACCCCGCGCGGCTCGCGCAGCAGCCGCCCGCGGCGAGCGCGCCGCGGATACCATCCACGAACGCGGCCTCGCCGCCCGCGGCGCCGCCGCGCCGCTGCGCGAGCCACTCTTGGTGCAGCGCCGCGTGCAGCGGCGTGAGCGCGGCGTTGGGCATGTGGCAGTTGCGGCCGAGGTCTGACACGACGGCGGCGTGCGGCGCGTCGCGCAGCGCCAGCACACGCCGCAGGAGGGCGGCGATCGCGGCGTGGCGCTCGCACGCAGGCAGGCGGCCTGCGGGAAGACGCGGGGGAGGGGCCGACCCAGGGGGCGCGCGCACGAGCACAGTCAGCACGGCGCCATGCGGGATGTCCAGGTTTTCCTGCTTCCTGGAAGCAGCTTCCACCTGGCTTCCCAAGGAGCGTGCCACAGGGTTAGGCACCACGCCGCCGCCGGCAGCCACCATGCCGTCTCCCAGGCGGTTTGGCGCTCCCAAGTGGCACGACCCTCCTGCATTGCCAGGGGCCAGTGCTCAGAAACCCCCCCCCGCACCCGACCCAGCGGCGAGCTCGTCGGCGGCGGCCGCCACGGCGTCCGCCATCCCTGCGCCCCGCAGCACCAGCCCCTCCAGCACCGCGGCGCCCGCGCAGGCCCACGCCTCCGCGTCGTCGGTGTTCTGGGTGGTGCGAGTCGCGGCGGCGACAAGGCGCATCAACCGGGGGTGGCCTGCGGGTGATCGGGGCCAGTGATGGGGTGGTGAGGGGCCGTTCACAATAAGAGTCGCTCCGAGCACCAGACAGAGCAAGCATTGGGGGGCAGCGCGTGTTTGCGCCAATTTGTAAGCATCACTGCGCGCCGCCGTACAAGCGTCTCACCCGCGAAGGCCGCCACCAGCGGCGCGAGGCGCGCCACGCAGTCCGCCTGCGCGTCTTCCGCGCCCGTCGCGGGCGGCGCCATGCCGCGCGAGTAGTTGCGCAGGAAGCCCTGCGCAAGGCGCACACAGACACACGGGGAGATGACACGAAGAGGAACTCAACGCCGCCTCACTCCCATGCAGTTGATCATACACAACAAGCCAACATCAGCGCCCAACATCTCCTCGGACAGCAGCGGCCAGCCGCCGTCGCGGCGCCAGCCCTGTCGCGTTGTTCAGGCCGCCGCCGCCGCCGACGCTGCGCCCTAGCGAGCACGGGCGTGCGTCAGCACCTCCCCCGTGTGTGCCCTCACCGTCGTGCTCGCGTTGCGATAGCCGTCAAAACCCTCCCCAAACGTCTCCGCGTACAGCTCAGCGTACGCGCCGCAGTCCAGCCCCCCCTCCCGCGCGAGGCTCCGCAGCAGCACCGCCGCCTCCTCCCCGTACGGGCTGTGGCGGCCGGTCGCGTAGCCGGGCAGGAACGGCGACTGCGGCGGCTCGTAGAACTCGAGGCCGGCGGCGGGGCCCTCGGCCTCGCGGCGCGCGGCCAGCAGGTCTTCAAGCCTCTCGAGGGAGTAGATCCACTGCACGCCCATCGCCGCGGCGTCGCCGACCGCGGCGCCGAGGACGGCGCCGAGGGCGCGCGCGGCGGCGCCGGGGGCGGCTGCGGGGAGGGGCGCGCGCGTCGCGGGGGCGGCGGCGACGGGGTGTCGGGCAGGGGCGCGGCGGCGCTGCCGTGCTGGGGGTGACTACGGCCGCCAGCTGGCGCCCGCACCATTTGTCAAGGCAAGCTATTCTGGTTCCCCTTGGCATGGCCCCGGCCCGGCACAATACACAATACAAGCGATTGCGTCCTGATCGCGGAATGCAAACGCACCCTGCGCCGGCCACGGCGTGACCGGGTGCAGAGAGATGTAGTCGGCCGCGGCGTCGCCGGCCGCCGCCGGCGTCGCGCCCGCCGCGCCGCTGGAGGGCTTGCGGCAGCTGGGGCAGCCCAGGGAGTTGGCAAGCTCCAGCGCCCGCGCGTCCAGCCGGCGCATCTCGTCATACTTTGCATTGGCCTCTGCAGATGGGAGCGGCAGCGAGCGACGACGGGACAAAGCGTGGGTCCGCATTTGCAGCTGTTTGCGGTGCGAAGCTGTTCTCTTTGCATCAGGGAGCCAGGCGATCAACAACAACAGTCCCGACCCCACCGCCTCAGGCTTGCCGCCAAAGCAGGCTGATGAGAGGCGAGTGCAAAGGCGCCTGTGCGTGCGTGCTTCCGCCCACCCTCGCAGCGCTGGAGCTTGTTGAGTGCCTGCGCCTCTAGATGGGCGCTCATCGCCGCGGCCTCCAAGCGCTTGATCTCGCTCTCAACCTCCGCTATGTGGCTCGGCTTCTGCGTGTCCTCATCTACCACGGTGGCCTGCTTGAACTCCATGGCAGCAAGGGAGCGGCGCGGCGCAATGCGCCGCGCCGGGTGCTGCTGGCTCGGGGTTGGCGCGCGGCTGGCTGCCGCGCACCGAGTTGGACGCCTGCTACGGTTGCACTCGAGCACGAGATGCCCGGGAGCGTGCCGCAGCTGCATCGCCCCGGTGTGGGTGGTCTTTTGGAGCAGAGTGGAACAGTTGTCCGCGGCGGGAATCGCGATCCGTTCGCGGCGAGGTGTCTCAAAGTTGTAAATAGTGGATCATAGAGGGAGCATCGTGCACGGAGGGGAGTGGCTGAAAGTCAGCGCCAGGTGGGTTTGCCAGCTGCTGAGCTCAGCCAACTCAGCCAACGGTGGTCGGGGCAACAAGGGCGGCAGCGTGATTCTGGGGGCAGCACAGACCCCGCACTGCCATAAGCACGTAAGGATTCCCGGTGGTTGAATGTGCAAGAGGCCGCCTTGACCGCTTGAATTGCATCTTGACTCCGCAGGTGGCTCGGTGTGCGCCGTGCGCATGTGCTCGGGGTGAATCTGCACTACTGTACAACAAAACAATCTGATGTGGAAAGTTAACACTGCGCCCATCACGGCTGCTGGTGCTCAGCTTTATATGATGTTGGTGGGACTTCCATCTGTCCAACCAAGCCAAGTAAGCACAATCCGGCACTACACACGCGTCACGTTGGGATGGGCTCGAGCCTTGCCATGGAACACGGCCTGTGACGCAGCCCCGATTTATGTTGTTTGTTGCAATATACATGGTATGGCAGGCGATCTCACAACAAAAAATAGCCCCCGAAACAGCCAGACCTAGATGTACTTGTTGTACGCTGATGCCACGGTACTCATGCAAGCCCTCCCTGAGCATCTTCACAGCTTTTGTGAGGCGCTCGGCCTGCGGGTGAACGTTTTCAAGTTTTAGATTGTGGTGCTCAGTGCCAAGCGCTGGCGTCGGCAGCGCGGGCAGCCCCAGTAGCGGTGCGCGGGCGCCGACGTGCCATTGGCTGATTGCTCAAACACCTGGGCATCGAGCTGCACTGCAGTCGAGGCATGCGTGCAGCCGTCGATCGGCAGCGAATGGCTGGCCTGCAGGCCATCTGGACTATGCACACCTGCTGTGTGCAGCACAACATCACCCGCACCCGCATGTTTCTCACTCCGCACCCGCATGTTTCTCACTCCGCACCCGAGCCTTGTGGAGCTGTGTCAGCCCTGCACCCTGGGCAGATGGCAGCAGTGCCCAGACGGGGCCGCCACGTGGGCCGTGCAGGGCTTGATCCAGCTTTATTTATGCGATGGACCGTGAGAATCTTACAGTGTACAAAGTGGCATCGTGAGCTACGCGTGCCCAGGCAGGGCAGGCAGAGCTCAGCTGTGGCGGTCCCAGGAGGTGGTGGCAAACCGCACACGACCCTCGTATAGATGGGGGTTTGAACCCAGGCTGCGCGGTTACTCTTGTTTATTTACTGGCTTGTCTCGTCCAAAGCTCCATCTATCGGCGTTCATATCATCATAGATTCGTACCGCGTTCCTCATTCGCCGGCCACCGGTCACTCGAAGCAACGGAACACCCATACATGTGTCTGAACTAACCTACAGCGAAATATAACCCTGAACGGGGGGCCAGCGTTTCGCACTGCGGTGTCCGCCCCTGGCGACTGTCAGCGGACCAAGCGCGCCTCACCGCCACCAGCGCGCAGAGCCCAGCCCTGTGCAAACGGGTCAATGAGCGAGAGAACGCCTACAGCACCCACATCTCAAATACCTGTCGCCTGCCGGCCCGGCTTCGCGGACCGCCTGGCGCCGCCCTACCTGGCCGTCATCTTTACCAGCCAGCGCCGCGGGCGGGACGAGGCATATGATGCAACCGCAGCCGCCATGGCACGCCTGGCTGCAAAGCAGCCGGGCTACTTGGGCGCCGAGAGCGCACGCGGCGCCGACGGGCTGGGCATCACGGTCTCTTATTGGCAGGACGACGCCTCCGTAGCGGCCTGGCGGCAAGAGCTTCGCCACGCGTCGGTGCGCGAGCTGGGGCGCGAGCGTTTCTACAGCCATTACGAGCTGCGCGTGGCACGGGTGGAGCGGGCGTACGGATGGGACGAGGAAGACGGCATCGCTGATCCCATGGGCCCAGCAGGAGCAGGCGGCACCTCCAGGGCAGCAGGCGACGGTATTTGCAGCGGCGGCAGCACTTGACTTATGCCAGGGCTCTTGGTGTGTGTGTTGCTTGTAACTGCTTACATTTACAACCGCCCTTCGCGTTGCATTTCCTTGACCCCGCATCAGGTCAAAGCAATGATAGTGGGCTGACCAGCAATCTTGTCCAAAGAGGAAGTATACCGTAGGGTAGCATAAGGCAGTTGCCCGCACTCAGTTGAAGAGAGTGTCCGAAATTGGGATCCGGAAGAAGCCTGTCGCACAGCCTCAAAGCATCAGCAACAATGCACGATCCAGATCACATGCCGCCCAGGTCAACCGTCAAAGCGCCGGCCACGGCTCACGCCCGTGTGACTTACACGGGTATGTAGGTTGGAACTGCAGTGAAATCCTGGTCCTGCACATGTCATGCGTGTTTTCAGACTACGGTTGCCTGGAAGCGCGCGCGGGCATGATCAACCACCGACCCTCCTGCTGGGCTGTGAGCGTACCCTCTGCCTCCAGCGTATGCCCATAGCGATATCATCATGAAGATGGATCAGACGCCGGCTTCAGACTTAGCCATGGCTATCCTCTCGGCACTGGGGCGCTTGAACGAGCGCTCAACATCTCGTGCTGCCGCTGAAGACTTGGCGCGTATGGTCTATGTGCTCGATCACAACAGCATGGGTGTGCTGGTGAACAGCATCGTCGGCCGTCTGGAGCCCAAGCCCTTTGCGCGCAAGGTGCCATGCACACGGCTGGAGCGGCCGCCGCGGCCTGCACCCTGGGATCAATCCGCACTCGCACGGCTGCGGGCAGCAGCATGCCAGCGCCCTGATTGTCCATGTGCAGCCCATTGAACTCCTTATGCGGCTGCCTTACCCCATGCGTTGCCGTGCCGCGGCCCTGTCACAGGAGAGCACGCGGCTCCTGGGGCTGCTTGCGTCGCCGCCTTGCCCTGTCCGTGACGCGGTTCTGCAGCCGCCCATCCTGCCAAAGGTGCTGGCCCACATCAAACGGCTCATGCAGGTGCGGCCGCAGCCTACAGTGGCAGCCTGGGGCTCCTCTGCTCCGCTGCAAAACGAAAGCGGTTGAGGCTGTGCTCGCATGCTTGCCCTTGGCAGCAAAACGAACATGCATGCACGCCCATACCCCATGCATGAGCACCTTGACATCAATCTGCACTTCTGCAATTCGCCGCATACTCGGCGCTCTGCAGGACGTCGATGCGTCAGTTCGGGACGCGTGCGTCGAGGCGCTGGCGGCGCTCGCCCACGCCGCCGCCCGCGCCGCCGGCGGCGCGCTCGCTGGCAGCAGCAGTGCCAACCCGTTCCTGCGCACGGTGTTTGAGTGTTTGGCGGAGCAGCGGAGGGAGTCGCAGACGGCGGCGGGGCAGGCGCTGCTGCAGGTGTGAAGGGCGCAGCAGGCGCTCGCATGCCCGCCTGGACCCACGCCCAATTTGCATCCTGGGCTGCCGTGGGACGCCTGTCTCCAAAGAGTGCGAGCAGCGTGTATATCGGTAGCGCTTATGAAACCTGATGCTTGCTGCCGGGGCCAACCTCATACTCCCATGCGCGTGCATGCGCATGCGTGCGCCCCATGCAGCTGGCGCCCGTCCTGCTTCCACTGGACAAGGACCTGGTCAAGGCGCTGCTGCGCTGCCTGAGGAACCCGGCCTTCCAGGGCTCCGCCGCGCTGCTGGCGGCGCTGGCGGGCACGGGCGCGGGCGAGCGGCGCGGCGCGGAGGGCCTTCTCAGGGTGAGGGCGGGCCCCGCGCCTCGGGGGCTGCCGTGCGTGTGGCCCCCGGATGGTATATTCTGACACGCCAGAGGTGTCGCGGGCACCAGCAGCATTATCGAGCTCTGGCTGGCTGGTGACAACATGGCATGGCCCGAGTTCCCATCCCCGCCCTTTCCGGGGCACGCGATCCCGCTGCCCGCTGCGCAGGACGGCGCGTCTGCGTTCCTGCCTTACCTGCCGCACCTGATCGGCCAGCCGCCCAGCGGCGGCGCGGCTGCTGGTGCGGCGGCCGGCGGCAGCAGCACCGGCGGTGGCAGCGGCATCCTTGGCTGCCTACACAGCAAGGACTGGGCGGCGCGCCGAGCGGCGGCTGACGCGCTGACCGCGGCGGCGCTGCTGCTGGGGCCGGCCCTAGAGCCGGAGGGCGCGTGGGGGGTGGGCGACGCCTCGTCGCTGACGGGGCGGTGTGTGGCGGCGCTGGAGGCCGCTCGATTTGACAAGGTGCGAGGGCCGCGCGGACAGCTTGAGAGGCGTTTCCGCAAGGGCATGAGAGCGCATGCCTCTGTGTGCGGTGGGTTATGCACCGCAATTATGCTGCTGGCACCCATGCTGCTTGCTTCAGTTCTGGCGGGGCACCTTTGCGGTGCAGCTGGTGCTAGGGCCCCTCTCCCAGCGTGCCGGCTTGTGCGGCTGCGCTGGGATGCCTGCTGACGCATCTCACTCGGCTTCATCCTTGAGCTGACCACCCGCACTTTAACCTGGGGACAGGTCAAGGAGGCGCGGCAGTGCGCGCGCGAGGCGGCGGGCGCGCTTCAGGAGCTGCAGCGCTTCGCGCTGGAGGGCGGCGGCGACTGGGAGGCGGTGGCGGCGGAGTATGAAGGTGCGCCCGCCGCGCCTCAATCGCGGTGCCGCGAGCTATCAGTGCGTTCCGGCCTCACCAGGCTAGTGTCAGCGCGGGCCTCAGGATCCCCTCTCACGTTGACGCCTCCAACTGTTGCCGTGCAGCAACCTTTCTGTCGGCACCTGGACCCTCGTCGGCGCAGCCCGGCGCGGCTTCGCCGCCGACGGGCGGCCGGCCGGCGTCCTCGGCCGCGGGCAGGGCGTCTGTGGCCGAGCGGTTCCACAGGGCGGCGACTCCCGAGGGCTTTGTGGCTGACGCGCGCCCCCTGGCAGGCTCTGGGCCCAGCGCCCGCACAAGGTGGGGCGCGTGCGAGGCGGCGCCGCAGCAGCGGGCGGCCGAGAAGGAGGATGAGTGCAGCGCTGGTACAAGTGAAGAGCGAAGCAGCCTCCTTGCAGCGGCGCCAGCGGGGGACGGCCTGGGGGGCGGCAGCGGCAGCGGCGGCGCCAGCGGCAGCAGCAGCGTGGTGGGCGATGAAGGGGGGGATCCCCTCAGAGACCTTCAGCAGCGGATTGAGGCGGCGCTGCAGGAAGGCGGGGGGTCGGACGAGGGCGGAGGGGACGGGGAGCGGTCGGGACCAGAGCAGCCAGCGCCTATGGCAGCAGCAACCGCCGCGGAGGCGTCGGGACCGGCTCTGCGGTCGGGGCGCAGCAGCAGCAGCAGCAGTGTCCGCAGGGGTGAGCAGCCGGGCAGGCCGGCGGCGGGGCCTGCCGGCGCCAGCAGGCGCGCAACAGCGGAGGGGCGGCGCGGCGTCAGCGCCGGCGCCGTCGTTCAGGGCACGGGCGTAGGGGCCAGCGGCCGGCCGGGCGCCGCCGACCGCGCTCTGGCGAGCGGCAGCAGCAGCGGCAGGAGCAGCCGGCGGGGAACGGGCGAGGCCGCGGCGGCACAGCCGGGCGACGGCCAGCCCCGAATGCAGAACTGCGGCGCGCCTTTGCGGCCACCCAGCAGATCGGCGCGCGGTCTGGGTCGGTCATCGGCGGCGGCGGCGGCAGCCGACGAGGCAGCTGGCAGCCAGAACCCTGTCAGGGCGGCCGCGCGCCCCGCGTCTGCCAACAACGCGTCTGAAGCGCCCAAAGGTGCTTGCTGCGCGGCGTGCCTGGGCGCGTCGTGTGTGTGCACGTTCATGCGTGCGGCCTAACAGCACCTCAAAACCAAGCCTGTCAACCCCATGTGCTCCCAGCATGACGTGAGCCTCACACAGTGTTCTTGCATGGGTGAATACCCACCACCTTGCAGGGGCCACGGCGACCGTGGTCGTCCCCGAGGCCGAGTGGCGCGAGGTTCGGGAGCAGCTACAGCACCTGCAGCAGCAGCAGCTGGCGATGGCAGCGATGATGCAGCAGCTGACCGAGAGCTCGGCCGCGGCGGCCGCGGCGCTGCAGGCGCGCATCGCCGTGCTGGAGGCAAGGGGAGCCACGTTGCCGCCGGCTTCAACACCACCACAGCAGCAGCAGCAGCAGCAGCAGCAGCAGAGCCCAGCGGCGCAGCCGCAGTTGCACGCGGCCGGCGCGGCGTCGCCACGGCAGCAGCAGCCGCAGCTGCTCTACGGTGGGCGCTCGTCCCCTGGTTCCCTGGCGGCCCTGTCGCCGGGGCCGGCGGCCTTGCCTTCTGCAGCACAGACGCCGCCACCGGGCCGCCTTTCGGGGATGAGCCGGTCGGTGGATGACTGGAGCAGCAAATCTGCCCCCGGCAGGCCGCCCATCCTGCGGGTTGGGTCGGGCCTGTCTACATCTGCGTCAGCCCTGGCGGGCGTTGGGGTGAGCGGTGGGGCGTGATAGAGGAGGAGGCCGGCGCGCGCGGCTTCTGCGCAGCGCGATTCGCACGATGAATGCTTGCGTGCTTTACAAATGTGAGTGTTTCCTGATGCATGGCAACCGTTATCAGCAATTGGTGAAGCCTGCGCAATCAGCATTGGCATGCCGCTCTTTCCGCGCGCGCTGCCGCCACCTGGCCGTCACCAGGCTTTGCTGGACGTCGGCGGAGGCGGGGCCGGCTTCTGCAGCCCCCTCACGCCGGCTGGCCCCTGCGACATCGAGGCCGCGTACGCTCAGGCGCTGCGCACGCCCTCCGACATGCACCTCATGCGCCTAATCATGAAGACCGGCCCCTGCTGGTCGGCGCTGTCCGAGCAAACCGCGGCGGGCCTGCTGGCGGCGTTCACGCGGTGCCTGCAGTCTGGCGTGATGCTGCACCGCGTGCTGCCGTGGCTGTGGCGCCTGGCGGATGAGGGCCGTGGGCCGTGTGAGGTGGCGCCGCGGGCGAGGCGCCAGCTGCTCGACGCGCTGATGTCATGCCCAGCGGCTGAAGACCTGCAGGTGTGGTGGTTGGGGCCCAGAGGATGGGGTAGTTGGGGTGGCGGTTTGTGGATGGGGTTGCGGCCCGTGGCATGGGCAGGTTTGGCGGGGGTGGCGCGGGGCAGGGGAGGGCGCAAGCGCCATGCGCTGAGCGGAGGACGTCCAGGCTTCTCCCGCGCGCAGGCTGGCCCTCGCATGCACAGGGGCGGGGCGCGCGGGCAGGTGTGGTGATGCGGCTGCACGGCCCTTTGCAGGCTGCGGACTGCGCCCATACACATGCCCCCGGGGGCGCCGTGCTGCTGCCGCCGCAGGTTCAGGAGAAATTCAAGCTCCTGATTGACACGCTGCAGTCTGTGTGGTCGGAGGCGTGACCGTGTGGGCGGCAACTGGCCCGATGCGGCGTGCTCTCTGTACTGCTGACACGTGTTCATCCTCTGTTGTTGATTCAGGGCCTTGATGTTGAGGCTTGCAGAGTGATATGGGTACAGGAACATTTTGAGAACGCCAAGAGCGAGTAGGCACTCCGCACAGATGTCGAGCCGGTCTGCGCGCAGCGCGGAGCGTATCGCCACGCGGGCGCATGCTGTGCGCGCTTGAATCACCGAATGGAAAACTTCCATTTACGCTCACCCCGGGTGAACTTCTGGCATTCGCTGCGTTCCAATCAAACCAGAACCTTTGTTTACGACGCACACAAAGCCTATTTATAGCAAGCATGTCGCTGGCTCGCTGGCCGTCGGACGGAAGGATGATGGAGCTTCTCGTCAGTCCAGGCCGCCCGATCGCAGTTGGTGGGTTTCCTTAGGCCTTGTAATGCTGTGTCGTGGCCGTGCGGGCGCTGGGCTGACGGCTTGCACCTCTGGATGCCGCAGGCTCCCCTATGGACAATCTGGACATCTGCTGCGCCGACAAGCCCAGCCGTGAGTTTACATGACTGATGTTGCGTTGTTTTTGACGCTGCCGCGGCACGCAGCGGGCGCTCAAGCTGCTCCCGATGCTCTTTTCGCAGGGGCCACTTCGGGCAAGCGGGCGTGCGCGCTCAAGGCCAGCTACATGGAGGACTCCGGTACTTCGAGTGAAAGCGAATCTTGGCTGACGCTCGCGAACCTGGATGACTGGTGAGCCTCGGTAATTTATCGATCTGGCATGGTCAACAATGCCGACGATCATAAAGCCGACCTTTGACCGCCCCTCATTTGCAGGTTATCGACATCTGTGACACCACGTGCGGCCAATGCGGACTGCAGCTTTGAACGTATGGTGCCTACGCCGGCCACAACAGGTATGTGTCACCACCGCATGCGCGCAAGGCGGTGGCGCCACAAGCACCCGCCTCAACATCTGCGTGCGTTGCCCTTGTGCACGTTGCTCTTGGAATGCGACAATATGTAATTACACATGCCCACAACATCAGCCCGTAGCTTCAGTGTGGCAATCTGACCCCGAGCTAGAGCAGAATGCATCAGGTGCATGCACCACCCCTGCGCAAGCAACGTAGCACGCACCGCCCCAGCCACCCACACAGCCTGCCCGGAGCAACGAACGGCACTCTCACGGCACTCTCCCTCCCGCCACCACAGAGCAAGTGCCCCAGAGCAAGCGCGTGGCGCCTAGCATCACCGGCAGGAAGCGCAGCGCGGAGCACGCGCCAGCCCCTGCACTATCGTGCGGCGCGGTGCGGGCACTGGCACCAGCGGCGGCGGCGGCAGCAGCGGCGGCGGCGCCTGCGGCGGCAGCCCCCGGCCCCTCGGGCGGCAAGCGGATGAAGCTCATGGACGGCTCCCAGGCGCGGTCCTGGGTGGGCGTGATCCAGCCGTTCAGGAGCGTCGCCAAGCCGCACGCCTCCGCTGGCGTCCTGAGCGTTGGGGGCATCAACGACGCGATACGGCGGCTGGAGGGAGAGCGGTACCCCTGGCGGTAACCACGCGCGGCGCCCCGCGCATTCGCACGCGCGCGCAAGCGCAGCAGGCGCAGCCGCCGCGGCCGCGGGGCTCCCCAAGAGCGTCGTGGGGGCGCGGGCTGCACCCCTTGCCATCCGCTGGCGTGCGCGTCGCAGCCAGCGAGCCCCGCCGCGCCGGTCGGCTCTGAGGAAGAGCCGAATTTCCCAGGCACCCCGGGCCAGCCGCCCCCGTTGCGTTCCTTTTTTCCCTGCACTGACGTTTCCCGGTCTCGCGGCTTGCTGAGGATCCAGGCTGGCGGCACTCGGCGCAGCCCAAGCTCGTTGGACGCGCCTGTGTCGTTGCACACAACACACACGCGCCGCCACCACGTCGGCCGGAGCCGCCTCGCTATGTGCACGGTTTGATGCCAAATCACCACACGTGCACTGCAGCCCTGCCCAGGGTGAAAAACACACACGCGCACCTCCCGGAGGCCGGCGGGGGACGAGCAGGCTTCCAGCCGCCGCAGCCCCTGGCCACCCGTCTGCCGCCCCGGCAGGTTGTGGAGCCGGGTCCGCAGCCCAGTGCCTGCACCGAGCATTCACACGCACGGCTGCGCCCGCACCACCCGTGGGGGCGCGCCCCTTGTGCCAGGACTGCTCATTTGAGAGTGGCGCGGCCCCGGAATGCAGGGCCGGCCGAGCCAGCGGCCCGCAGCGGCTCCTGGGCACGTGCGCAGTGCCTCAATCAAACTTGTCTGCCTGCAACGAGGTTCCCTATTGTCGCCCCGCGGCCCGCAAAGCCCTGGGCGCCAAGCACTGCACGCCCGCCGCCCCCGGCGGGGCCGTCGGGCCGCCGCGCCTGCGCAAAAATCTTCCGTTGTGGTGCACTGCTTTCCCCTCATTTCGGCGGGGCCGCAGCGCGGCGCACGCGGGGCCACCGCAGCATGCCCTCGCAGGGCCGCGGCGGTGGGGCCTGCCTAGCAGGATGGTTTTGTTCTGAGAATGAGTCTGCGAGTGCACCGGTTGAGGGGCAGCGCCACACGGCAGCTGCCCCCTTCAAAACTATAAAACAGCAGCCCGCGGCGGCTCCAGCTCCACCCTGCGTTTTGCCGGCTTTTGGATCTTGCCGCCCCTAATGTTCCGGGTATCGGCTGTCACAAGATGCGCCCCGCTCTGCTCCGCCACACGCACGCACTGCAACCCGCCGCGGCAGTCGGCCCGCGACAGGCCGCGCCCGGCACACCAATCCTGCACATCTGATTGCACTGACCCCAGGCGCGGCGCCGCCCAGCCCGCGCGGGCACCGCCTTGCGCGCCGCACCGCTCGCCGCCGCGAATTTGCTGCCCTCGCCGCTCGTTGGCGGCAAAAAGCTTTCGACGAATGCGCGAGTCTGAATTTCGATGAATGCGCGCACACCGCCGCAGGCGTTGCGCCCGTCCCCCCTCTGTTTACAAACCCCTCGATGCGCCCGCGGCGCTGCCAACGCGCATTCCGCGCTGGCCTGTGCGCGGCTTGCGAGAACACCCATACTGCTTGGAATGCCAAGGAGAAGGCAGGAATGTAGGGAATGTTGTGCCGGCCTTATTTTCCGCTCGTGTAACCAACAGCCTGCAAGTTACTGTTTTGGTGTGTGCCAGTGTGTGTCAAATCCACAACAAATTGGGGATGTTCATCACCAGCATTCAGCTCTGAACAGAATTCAAAATTAGGGTTCAGAAATCATCGCTGTCGTCGCCATCCAGCTCAATTGGCCGAGCTTGCCGCTCGTCCTGCTGCTGCTGCTGCTGCTGCTGCTGCTGCTGCTGCTGCTGCTGCTGCCCCCTGAACGCGGCTCGCTGCATCGCCATCTGCGCGGGCGGTCGGCGGGGGCGAGGCGCGTGCGTGCGGGCTGGCTGGTCAACATCTGGCGTGACTGGAGCACCCTGGCCACACGCCATGGTGTGGGCGCAGGGCGGGGGGTGCAGCAGCGGCGTCTGGATGTCCCAGGCTCCGTGCCCGCAGGCAATCGAGCCCACAACCCGCGCGTAAGCCCTGCTGTCTCCCGCTCGGCAACGCACAACATGTGCAGATGGAAAGCCCCACCTGCATGAGCCTCGCCCCCTGGCCGACCTTGGACGCCCCGCCGCTCTTGGCCGCCGCCGGCGCCTTGCCGCCGCCACCCCCGCCACCGCTTTGTTGTTGCTGCTGCTGCTGCTCGCTCCACAGTGATGCTGCTGAGACGAACCCTGCCGGCGGCCGGGGCGCCGCCTTTTTTGCAGGCGGGGCCGCCCGCCAGACGGAGCCGTCCGCCGCGCCGCCACCGCC